ACCATGTATGGTGGTTCACACCTGTAATCCCAGAATTGAGAAAGATAAGGCTGGAGGATCAGGAGTTCAAGACCAGACTGAGTTGTACAGTGAGTTCCAGGCCAGCCTGGGCTATACTGCAAGACCCTCAAAGATGTAAACTGAACTGTTAACTATAGAAGCACTCTGATTTCAGTTTTAACATGCAAAGAGCTTGGAAGACATCACCCAACCACCACAATAAGAACACATTGAAAACTGATTACTTTTCTTAGACTCATTAGAGAATTGAAGTCACAGGCAAAAGCACCAACCTCTAAACTGGATAACATAAATCATCTTAACCTGAAGCAGAAAAACCACACATGACCATCTCAAATGATGCGCAGAAAGATCTCAACGCAATCAAATGCCTTTTCAAAATAAAAACATACTCACCAAACTACGAATAGAAGGAAAATTCCTCAACATGATAAAGGCCATATATGAAAAGCCACCAACTATCATTGTACTCAATGACAGAAGATTGAAACTTTTCCTGTAAGATCAAGACAAGGATGAGTTCAAACCCCAGTCCCACCCCTCTCCCCCAAGAAAGACAAGACTGTCCACTTAACTACTTATATTTAACACAGTACTGGAAGTTCAAGCCAGAGCAATTAGGAAGGAAGGGAGGGAGGGAGGGAGGGAGGAAGGAAGGAAGGAAGGAAGAAAGGAGGGAAGGAAGGAAGAAAGGAAAGAAGGAGGAAAGAAGAGAAGGAAGGAAGGGAGAGAAGGAGCGAAAGAGAGGAGAGTAGAGAAAGAGAGGAATGAAGAGGCACCCAAATGGTAAAATTATCTGTATTTGTGTAAGTGTTCCAATTTCAGTATGCCCTTCCCTACACTTGTTATTTTATTTTTGTTTGTTTGTTTTGGGTTTTTTGGTGGTGGTACTGAGGTTTGAACTCAGGGCTTTGCACTTGCTAGGCAGGCACTCTACCAGTTGAGCCACACCTCCGGCCCTCTTTGCTCTTATTATTTTGGACTTAGGGTCTTGCTTTTTTTGCACATGCTAGCCTAGACCACAATCATCCTATTTTATGCTTCTCATTGTAGCTGGGATGACAGATGCATGCCACTGTGCATAGGGCCTTTTAAACTTTTTGCCTGGGCTGGTCTTGAACTGAGATCCTCTTGATCTCAGCCTCCCAAATCCTGGGATTATAGGCCTGCATCATCATGCCCAGCTTAACATCATTCTCAATGGTGAGAAACTAGATGCTTCCCCCCTAAAAATGGGTGTGTGGCAAGGATGTCTCTTTTTCAGCATTTCTATTCAACACTGAAAAGGAAATAAAAGACCCGATACGGTGGGTGGTACACACCCGCAATCCCAGCCACTTGGGAGGATGAGACAGGAGGCTCTCAAGTTCAAGGCAACTTAATGAGACCCTGTCTCAAAGTTAAAAAGGATGGGGGCGGCAGCTTAGGAGTAGAGTGCTTGTCTGGAGTGCATGAGGACCTGAGTTCAGGTCCTCAGTGCCAGGAGGAAAGTAAAAGGGAAACGGAAGGTATATGACTCGGAGGGAAGTGTAAGTGACACGAAACACAGAAGCACCATTTCTGCTGCAAGTCGCTTGTAGAGGAGAGGTGTAGCTCCAGGTGAGTTCCTTCACAGATGTTTTAAACTTATGTTTTCCTCCCATTTAATAGCCTATGCCTGCAATTCTCAAGCTTCAGTGGACATCAGAACCACCTAGAGGGCTGGTAAATATGAAGACTTCTGAGTCCTACCTCTGCAGGCTCCGGCTGCTTTCATCTGGGATTTCCCAGGGAATGACATTGTTTTGGAGAGGGTAGTCTCCACACCATACTTTAACTAGAACCGACATACCTACTAGTTTTCTTTTGCTTTTGCTGAAGGAAGTAGAGACTCCAAGTCTTCATGTAAGATCTCATAATTGTTGATGGTTACATAATTTAGAGCTGCTTCTCTCTCTCTCTCTCAGTGGGACTGGTGTTTGAACTCAAGACTTCACACTTGCAAAGCAGTGAGCCATGCCTCCAGTCTACTTGCTCTGGTTATTTTGGAGATGGGGGTCTCACAAACTATTTACCTTGGCTGTCCTCAAACAGAGATCCTCCAGATTATAGCCTTCCAAGTAGCTAGAATCACAGGTGTGAATCACAGGTGCCCAGCTAGAGCTGCACTTCTCAATCTAAATTACATTGTGGGCTAGAAAGCTAAATTCGTTGTCTTAGAGTTGAGGTAGGCCATGGGGATGGCGATGAGAAGAGGTGGTATGCAAAAGGGAGCCAAACCCCTAAAATGTCTCATCTGCAAATTTTGTAATTCAGTTCAAAATACTTTATAATTTCCTTTTGATTTCTTCTTTGACTTATAGACTCTTTAGAAGTATGTTAGTAACATTTCTAAATTATTGGAACTTTTTAAGATATCTTATTGCTACTGATTTCTAATACTTTTGGGTCGTTCCATTCACTGTAAATATGCTAATTTATTTTCTTTCCTCTGAGTGTCTCTGTGTGTTTTTCCTTTTGTGAAACAGGGTCTCCTTTTGTAGTCCATGTTGGCCTTGAACTCACAATCCTGCCTGAGCTTCCCAAATCCTGGGATTACAGCATGGCCACCATACCCACATCTATTTTCCTAAGCACAGTTATAATATGTACATTTTAATCTTTATTTGCAAATTCCAACATGTATCCCATCTCAGAGTCAGCTTCTTGGTTGTCTTCTCTTTTGAATTATGGGTTATGTTTTCCTATTTCTTCATATACTAAGTTGTTTTGTATCCTAAATACTGTGATTGTTACATTGTGGAGACTCTGGATTCTGTTTCATTCTTCTGAAGAGTGCTGATTGTTTATTTGCTATTTGTTTGAACAGGCATTAAGTTGGCAGACTCATACTCTAAACTCTGTCTCTCCTGAAGGGAGCAGGAGTTCAAATCTTGCTCATTTCTTTTAGCTATTGCTAGTACATCCAAGGTTCAGAGGTCAGGCAGACATTTGGGTAGGATATGTGTGTGTGTGTTCATATATATATATGAAAAAATTATGAGTTTTCTACCAGAATTTTAGCTGTTCCCCGTGATCAAGTGCTGCCCCCAAGCCAAAATCACAAAGCTGGGGGTCTTGCCCTTTATCATTCAACTGTTCTCCTCTTTCAAATGCTAACCCCCTTCAGCATCCACCTGCTTTTGCTAGTTCCTCAGTGCCCTCAGGAACTTGTATTTTGATTGGTTGGCTTTGGTTCAGGATTTATAGATCTTTATTTGGTCACCTAGGAGCTTACTCAGTCATTACCAAAAGTAGGACCCAGCTATGCTGTCTTCTAAATAATCCAGTACTAGATAACTTGGCAGGCATGGACTGTAAAGTGATCTTTAGAGTCAAGCAGCATCAAGTAAGACCATAGTTTAAGAAAAGACTGAGTAAGGTTGGGGAAGATAGAAGTTAACTGGATTGACCAATGGTTCCCTGTTATCCCAGACCAGTCTGAGGACTTCTTTTATTCTAGAAAATTGTGAACTCCACTGATAATAGAAGTATGTGTTTATCTTGCTTTGGTGATATAGGCAAGAGGGTCTTACTATGTAGCCCAGGGTGGCCTCAAACCAGTGATCCTCCTGACTCCACCTCCCAATTACTAGGACATGCACCACCACATCCACCTAAGGAATGCAAATTAGAATCAAAAGAAGCCAACACATCTCTATTCTATGTTCATGAGAGATGTTAAAATGCTGTCTTTTAGCAAATTAAAATAAAGGTGGGTAAGATGTCTTCTTTCTCAGGAAATGTCATTTAGTTTTGAGAAATTTCCAACCATGAAACTGGAGTGCTAATGTTAATCAGATGAGTCAGTCATAGAGTGCTTGTCTTGCGTGTCCAATGTCCTGGGTTCCACCCCGAGAACCCCTCCCCCCTCAAAAAGTCCATGCCTTTCAGTGGGTCAGAGGAAAGACAAGATTTATTCAGTGGACTTTAGGTTCACCTGTATAATATAAAGAATGCTCAGGAGACCCCTGTCCAAAAATATCTCCACTTCCAACCTGTCATACTGTAGACTAGAAAGTCCCAGACATTTGCCTAATTTCCAATTTCATTCTACGTCATAAACTCATGCTTATGTCCTAGAACCCAGCATCCATCAGAGTGTCTGGCAAATATCAGTGGTCATCAAGGCTGTGGCTCTGACTGAGTCAGATATGCTCATCTGTAAAATGCTCAATTTGTACATGTCAAAAGATATCAGAAGACCACACACACACTCAAAATGCTAAAGAGCACCAAGGATTAGTAATATTAAGTAAAGTGCTTTTAAAAACCCATAAGAAACTGGGCACGTTAGCACGTCTATAATCCCAGTACTGAGCAGACTGAGGCAGGAAGATCATGAGTTCAAGACCAGCCTTGGCTACAAAGACAGATCCTGTCTCCACAAACCCAAAAACAGAACACAACAAGAAAAATCCACAAGAAAAGCATTACTATTCAATGAAAATGAATAAGGAAAAACCCATAAATCCTTTAAAAATAAGCAACACACGCAGACAGTAAGCATGAAGAAGCATGTGTGTTCCTCTTTAGGGATCAAAGAATACAACTTAAAACCATCTTATCTAATATTTCAACATTTATTGGTTGAATAAATGAATTAATATCTCTGGGATCATTAGCCCTGCTTTGTAGATGAAGAACTAAGGCTCAGATAGGTTAAATAACTTGGCCAAGAGCACAGTAATGGGGTCCAATTTGATCTCAAGTCTCTGAATCCAGTTTCACTGCTCTTCCTCCTCCCCTCAATCTACTGAGAAACAGCTGGCATAAGGATGGATGCTCAATTACCAGTCTGCAAGGAGAGAGGAGACTTATGACAGAATGTAAATCAATGTACTGTGACCTTCATCAAGACAGTCTTGCTTTGGAAAAGAAAAATGTTATCCAAACCAACCAATGATTAGTGACTTTGTGTTCTGGCACAAATTCTTAATTTTGTTACAAATGCTGGTCCATGGAGCATTCTTTTTTGTGATAGGGGTTCTTAGCTATCTCTAGCCCATGTGACTTTAAACTCTACATGTCTGTCATTTCAGTTGCTCTCGGCATCCCTGCCATCTGGTCCAGATGGAGTACTCTGGCATCTATGAGTCTACCACGGCTTTTTATTACGATGCTCTGAGTATCCTGTGTGAGAGTAAGACCATACTGTTTGCCACCATCTCCACTACCGTCCTGTACTCTCTGGTGTTCCTCCTTAGCCTGGTGGGCAACAGCCTGGTGTTGTGGGTCCTGGTGAAGTACGAGAACCTCGAATCCCTCACCAATGTCTTCATCCTCAACCTGTGCCTCTCAGACCTGATGTTCTCCTGCTTGTTGCCTGTGTGGATCTCAGCACACCACTGGAACTGGGTCCTGGGAGATTTCCTCTGCAAGCTCCTCAGTATGGTCTTCTCCATCAGCCTCTACAGCAGCATCTTCTTCCTCACCATCATGACCATCCACCGCTACCTGTCAGTAGTGAGCCCCCTCTCCACCCTGGGTGTCCACACGCTCCGCTGCCGTGTGCTGGTGATCACAGCTGTGTGGGCTGCCAGCATCCTGTCTTCCATCCCTGATGCCATCTTCCACGAGGTGATCGCCTCAGAATGTGTTTATTCCAAAGACCAGGGACTCTTAGCCTCAGTCTACCAGCACAACATCTTCTTCCTTCTGTCCATGGGAATTATCCTGTTCTGCTACGTACAGATTCTCAAAACCCTGTTCCGCTCCAGATCCAAGCAGAGGCACCGAACAGTCAGGCTCATCTTCACCATCGTGGTGGCATACTTCCTCAGCTGGGCCCCCTACAACCTCATCCTGTTTCTGCAGACACTCCTAAAACTCAAGGTCATCCAGAAATGCGAGGTCAGCCAGCAACTGGATGTTGCCATGCTCATCTGTCGAAACTTGGCTTTCTCCCACTGCTGCTTCAATCCTGTGCTCTATGTCTTTGTCGGGGTCAAGTTCCGTAGACACCTTAAGAGTCTCTTCCGGAAGGTCTGGCAGAGCCGGCAGCAGACAATGAGCCCTGCCCCGTTTCCCCACAGCCCTGGTGCCTTCACCTACGAGGGGCCCTCCTTCTACTAAGGATGGTGCGTGTGGAGGTGGCCTGGGATGCAAGAGGGGAGCAAGGACAAGTGGACCAGGAAGAGAATTGCAAAAGAGATACACAGTGAAAAAGCCACCTATCACTGCAGTGGTGGGGAAGAACAAGGTCATGACACCTGTGGGTCCTATATCCCCGCCTCTTGGCAAAGTTGCTCCCCCCCTGTGCATTTTATATTCCATGCAATACAACTCTTCTTGGATTCTGAGTTTTCCATTCATTCCTTCACTTAGACATGGATTGCTTGCCAGTGATTGGTCAGAATATCCTAAAACATAAAAGGATTTCAGGAAAGGAATATCCTTCCAGACTTCAGGAGGGCCTAAAGCTCAGTGTGTGTAGTGCAGTGCAGTGCAGGTTGCTGCACCCAAGGGTGGTCCCAGCTGACAGTTCACTTGGAAGGGGGCTGGCTCTGTGTTCCTTAGTGACTGCTGGATGAGGCTGTCTGCAGGACAAGAGTAATCAGACCCTCAAATAATCATAATCACAACAAAACCTGGATTCTAAAAGCCCACAACTAGACTGAAGACAGCTCAGTATCCTAGCGCTATAGCCTTCACACCGAACCTGGCCCTTAAATATTTAGCTCATAAATATGGTATAGAAGAAACGCATATACAGTAAGCCTGCCTTATTCACAAATCTATTATGTTAGCTTTGAAGCAAGTGAGGTTAAAAAAAAAGTTAAAAGAAATTTCAAAAACAAAATTTTTAAATTCCCACGTGTATTACACAGCTCAGTTGATGTGGAGCTTTCAGTCAGTAGTGTGTTATCATCGGTTGTGTTTAAATCTCGTGATCTACTCAGTGTTTCCCTGCCCTTATTTTCATGAAAATCTGCCTCACTAAAAGCAAAGTGTTTGTTGGAAGGCAGCATGGCTTTAGCAGAAGTTGAGTGGTGTTATAGAAAAAACAAGTCAAGCATCACAGTACAGTGCTGAACTGTGTGCATCCTGAGGGTGCATGGTTTTTCCTCCATGGTTGACTCCTTGGAACCAGATACCCACTGACACCAAGGCTCTACAGTAATGCATGCTACCTTCTGCACTAAAAAGGATACAAAAATAAACAAGATATAGTTGCTAACCTCCAGGTGCCACCAATCCAGCCCTGAAGCCCAGATAAGCAAAGCCTACCTTGACCAAGGCATGAAGTCCCCTCCAATAGGTCATCCCTTCTAGATAGAGCTAACTTCACACTGGTCACTTTCCACCTAAAATGTCCTCCTCCCACTTGATTGATGGTGCCAGATTGCTCCATCATCCACTCTCCAACCTTTAGGTTTTCTTAAAGTCCTGCATTTTCTTCCCCTCAGCTTCCACAATCAGGTTCTATGGACTCCACCTTCCAGTGTCTCTCTGCCTTGTTCCTGCCATTACATACTCATGACTTCATTCTGGCAATGACCTCAATTTTTCAGCGTCTTTCTGCTGCTCCTCTCTTTCACAACTAGGCCATCCTGGGGCTTATTGGCTCCTCACTGCTTACAAATAAATTGCAAACACCTTAACAAAGTTTTTAAAATCTCCACAATCTGGTGCCAACTGACTTCCATTCTTACTCCACTCTGAGCTCCCTGCCTCAAGCAACTTTAGATCCAACCACAGGAGACCACTGACCTTCTTCTCCCCAGTCTCCTGCCTCTGGTTCTTTGTCATGCTATCACCTGGGCCTAGAACCCTGGTCCTTCTCCTCTCCAACCTCCAAGCCCCAGCTGAAAGACCAGCTCCTCCAGGAAGCCCTCCTAATGTGCAAAGCAGAAGGGTACTGAGTTGCTGTGACACTCTGCCCCTCTCTATCTTGAATTTGTTGCCCTCTGTCTTGTGTCATTATTACACACTTGCATGTTTTTTCTCCCTGTCTCATCAAACTGCTTGAGGCCAGGAACATGGTCTTGAGCCTTGACGTTCTACAGTGAGAGCAAAGAATGACAGCTGTCATCCCTGGCATTTATGCTCTTTGGGGAGGAGCATGCCATGGGACACACTTTACCTTCTATGCACCAGGTTGCTTCTCTGTAAGTATAACCTGTTTACTCCTCTGCACTCTCAGAGCACATGCCTATTCCTCTCTGTGACAATGGCTGCACAGGACTTTGCCTTCTAGTTAGTGGTACACTGTCTCATAGCTTCACACTCTAGGGCAAGGATACTGTCACTTCCTAAACTTTCCTATGCCACAACCTAGACCAATTTGTGAACCAAAATCTGCTCTGGAGTGGGCATTTGGAAATGATCCCCATGTGATTCTGACATGTACCCCAGTTGGGAACATGTGGCTGCAACTGTTTGAAAACAGGGACCCCAGATTTGGTATCCCTAACAGACCCAGCACAATCTGGAACCAGGAGTCTTCTGCTAATTTCACTCTTCAGGTATCCAAAGCAAGAGGCACACAAAAGTGAGCTATGAATGAGAAGATAGAAGGATATCTAGCAGAGAGTGTGGGGCAGAGAAGCAGCAGAGAGCTAGCTGCATGGCAGGGATCCCATCCTCCTCCAGCCCTGACTGCAGTCCTTTACTGGCCACAGTCTCTTGCTGTCTTCCTCCCTCTACCACTGAAATCACTGTTTCTTCTCAACTAGATCTCTGCAAGAGTCCTGGGCACAGGACTGCAGATTTCTTGCCACTTCTGGGATACAAAAACTCTGCAGGGGATATTAAGGAAGGTCCTCTTCTCAGCATCCCCTCCTTCACACTCCCTCAGAACCAGGAGGAGAGGAGACTGGTTGATATCTGAAGTGGAGTGTGTGTCCAAGCTCAGGGAAGCCCCAGATCTCAAGTGACTCCAGCTGGAGTGCAAGTTCATGGCAGTCACAAACCCAGCTTCCAGGCCTCCCTAAAAGCCCCGTGGTGTTTGCAGTTAATTGAATGGACAGCAGTCTAACTTTTGGCTTTTCTCTGCTTCCATTTCCTCTTTCCATACTTGCCTATGTTAAATCTTCCAGTCAACACCAGTTCCCTGCCCAGTGATCTTCCCGTGAACACCTTCTCTAAGGTCCACCAATCCAAACACCACCTGGCTCTTTGGAATTAAGCTTTGTTGAACTTCTGACAGCTTGCATTTGTGAAACCTGCCTGTAACAGAACAAAGAGGCCCACAACTATGCAAAACTCAATGGAAGAGATTCCCCCAAAGTGAGAAGGCTCGTGGCATCTGCACCTTGTATCTAAACCCTGAACCCAAGCTTTTGTCCACTGTGACCTTGGGCCTCTCAGAGCCTCAGTTTTGTCATCTGTAAAACCATAGAAATGCCAACAATACAAACTCATCCCACCACAGGGATGTGTATGAGGTCATGTATGTAAAGTACTTGATTTATAAACTGTTCTGTCTCAGGTAAATATGAATTACTACCCAGTCTTTTCATAAAAACTGAAGGCCTTACGGTATTAGATGTACAAGTAAAAGATTGGCTTGCATTTACTTCAGGCTGGTTGTTTTGGTCAATTGAGTCCACTATAACGGGGGTATACTCAAGCCACAGCCTTGGTTATTTTCCTAGCTGAGAGAAGTGTGGTTCTTTGTGGTTTTGGGGGATGGAACAGTGCTGGGCATCAAACCCGGGGCCTTGTGCATGTTAAGCAAGTGCTCTACCACTGAGCTCCTTCCCCAGCCTATGATTCGTTAAAGTTTTATGCTTTGGGGGGATCTGGGTTAGGACTTAGGGTTGGAAAATAAAGTGTAGAAGAAGGCCTGTGTGGGTCAGGACACTGGCTCCATTCAGCCATAGGTGAAATTGTCCAAGAGGTCAAGTCTGTCTAGAGTGCTTTGTGACTCAGTTTTCTGTCCTCATCTCTCCCCTGCTTCTATCTCCAAGCCCAAAGCTTCCTTCTGTCTTGAACCATTTATGCCTGAACAAGAACAGTTCAGAGATATAGTCCTGTAATGGGAAGGAATGACACTGTTTCCTGCTGAGAATCTCAGCATCCTAAAACCAGTGGAGAATATTTTAGGGATTGGGGAAAGTATCTGAAGGGTAAGAGGAGCTCTCACTATTCACCAAGTTGTTCTGAATGCAGAGCTGTATGGCTACTTGGGCCAGCCCATAGCTTATGTGTGGGATTGTTGCAATCCCCTTCCACACCCCCACCAGCCCCCCACAGGAAGTATGACCAGAGGGATAAAAGGAGGACAAAGGCATCCTGGCTCCTTGACTTTGACCATTTCAGAAAACCAGCCTTGAGCATCACTCAGGGCTTGATGGGCAACATTTGGGTGTGGAAAACTGGAGGGAATTGGAGGGTTGCAGGGATCAGAGAAATGGGTAAGGGTGAGAGAGGGGAATGCAGACATCCAGGCCATCTCTGGCCGCATTTGGAGAATATATGCTCGATGTAGAATCCAGCCCATGTTGTACTAGTTTGCATTCCCACCAGCAGTGTGAGAGGGTTCCTTTTTCCCCACATCCTCGCCAACACCTGTTGTTGGTGGTGTTTTTGATGATGACTATTCTAACAGGGGTGAGGTGGAATCTTAGTGTGGTTTTGATTTGCGTTTCCTTTATGGCTAGAGATGGTGAGCATTTTTTCATGTGTTTTTTTGGCCATTTGAATTTCTTCTTTTGAGAAAGTTCTGTTTAGTTCACTTGCCCATTTCTTTATTGGTTCACTAATTCTGGGAGAGCTTAGTTTTTTGAGTTCCCTATGTATTCTGGTTATCAGTCCTTTGTCTGATGTGTAGCTGGCAAATATTTTCTCCCACTCTGTGGGGTGGTCTCTTCAGTTTAGAGACCATTTGTAAAGATACTGCTGAAATGTCAAAAAGGTCTGCAGATGCACTATGGTAACAGAGATAAGTACGAGGGGAGGCACTTATGTTTATCTATAGCACAGAAAATGAAGCTGGTAGAGAAAGTGGATGGCAAGTGTAAGTGTGAAATATCTTTCATAAGAGTGTGATGTTAGCCATTACTTGGGAAATGGAGATCAGGAGGATCACAGTTCTAGTCCAGCCTAGGAAAAAGTTAGCAAGACCTTAAATCAACAAGCTTGGTGTGATGGTACAGATCTATAATCCCAGTTATGCAGGAAACCACAGAAGGATTGTGTTCCATGGCCACAGAAAAATAACTAAAGCAAAAAACAAAAGGGGCCAGGAGGTAGGACTTCTAGGGATGAGCAGGCGTTCTACTGAGTGGCTTTTTGAGT